TTAAATATTAATCATCAAATTGTTGGTTATAAAGAATAGTGTATTTCAAAACACACTTTTTCAAAAGCATTTACTCACTGTATTAAATATTGTATAACTGTGTGCTGAGCTGATGCCAGCATGCACTTGTTGTAGTGTGTGTGTGCCTCAGGCCATCCAAGATGTAGGTGGCTTTTTTTCTTCTTCAGTAGAACAGTAAAGAAGATTTTTAGCTGAAACTGTGGTCCTTGGTGATTCATAAAATACAAGTCAGTAGCTGCCCATTTTTGAGAAAAAAATGCATATCAGACAACACAAAACGAATACCCGTGGCTCCTGACGATATATTGAGGTCTTATGAAGCGAAACGATCGGTCTGTGCAAGAAACTGAACATTATTTACTACATTATTACCTGAAATCCAGAGCCTCATGCAATGGGGAATCCGATTATTTTCCGTGAACTGATTCTTTTTAGGACAGTCCGTTTCAATTAACTGGTTCAATTCACTGGTTCATTAATGTAATCACGCAATGGCATAACATATACACAAATGTGGATGTTTTACATGTCTTAAGCATATAAAGTGAATAAACTAGTCTTCATCAGCTCACCTTTTTACATAACCATGAGAAACCATAAAATCTTTCATTTCGCCCCTTCATGCTCGGTTCACACATGTGCATATCAGCAGCTCATCAGCCTCCAGTCCGAGTCGAACCGTTTCCTCAGTTCAGTGCCTGTTGAAGGAGCTGGAGCGCTGAATGATTCATTCATCATAGGATCAGATACGACAGTATTTTGGCTCATTTGGAGTCGGAGTGACTGTCAGACATCCGAAAGTGAGTTTTGATTCAGTAACTTGTAGATCTGTGCTTCTCGAGCCGCGAACTGATTCAGACGATTCAGTCCGATTTGGTGAACTGGTTCATCTAGTTCACTAAAAAGAACCGGTTCAAAATAATGATTCATTCATGAACCAGACATCACTCTGGACCATTTGCCTGAGGCTCTGGATTACAGGTAATAATGCTGTAAATAATGTTCAGTTTCTTGCACAGACTGATCATTTCGCTTCATAAAACCTCGATATATCGTCTGGAGCCACGGGGATTAATTTAGTGTTCATTTTTTATTCTCAAAAATGAGCAGGACCACAGTTTCATCTAAAAATCTTCTTCTACTGAAGAAAAAAAAATCACCTACATCTTGGATGGCCTGAGGGTGAGTAAATTAACAGCAAATTTTCTTTTTTTGGGTGAACAATCCCTTTAAGCTTGGATGTAAAGCTTTCTTTGCATTCTTCTAATCTCAACACAGATGCATTAGGTATAACGTGCATCCATAAAGGACGATTGCACATAATCCCTGATGAGCCCACACTCTATTTACCAAGTTGGAAAAGCAGAGAGTGTTGGATGTGGTTCAAATCGCTGTCTCATTCAATCCCCACCGCGTCAGTCTGAGCCAGAATGCTGTATGCCAACAGCCGAGCAGCACTAGCCATTCTGATGGCCGAAGTCAAATATACTGGATCTCATTTGTATACAGATCACAGGCTGTGCTGTAATACTCCCGCGTTCAGCCAGACAATGGAGCCATTGTGAATTAGGATCAGTTGCACATGTCGCGTTGCTATACGGACATGCAGCAAACACAAGCGTGCGTGTGCACGGCGTCACGGGCTGGCACGCAACCCAACAAAATACTGCAAACAAACTGCTCCAGTGGACTTCCGTGTGGAAATGCATTCATGAGGATTAAAGATGCTGTAATTGCAGATATACGGGAACACATCAGATTGCTTGGATTTAGAAAAGGCGATTTAGATTTGTCATGTAATGCTGTTGTTGCCATTGTGTTGAAGTCAGAAAGACCATCAGATTCCATCCCGTAATTATTTGCAACACTTACAGGAGTGCACATAATTATGTAAAAAAAATCAATATTGTTTGCTCTAGATATCTGCTAATCCAAAGCACTCACAATCCAAATATCAGCAAACAATCATTTAGCTGCTAATTGCAAAGCTAAACAAATTCACAGGATCCCTGTAGCTCTGCGTTACGCAAGTGGTGTTCGCTACAACAAGTTAAGCAAATTAAGTGATTAGGTTTATGAAAAAAATATCATAGACACACATTGGTTTAAGATTTGAGGGTGGACTTTTCACACAAAACACACTGCAAAAAATGATTTTCTTACTTAGATTTTTTTGTCTTGTTTCCAGCCAAAATATCAAAAAATTCTTAAATCAAGAAATTGTTGTCTGTTTGAAATAAGATTATTTTGCTTACCCCATTGGCAGATTACTTTGCTTGTTCTAAGCAAAAACTCACTTAATTTTGACTTGTTTTTTCTGAAACAAGACAATAATTTTTACTTATCTAGAAAATCCTTCTTGATTTAAGAATGTTTAGATATTTTGGCTGAAAACAAGACAAAAAATCTAAGTAAGAAAAGCATTTTTTGCAGTGCAGTAATAAAAACACCCTAGCAACCACCCAAAACGTCCTAGTAA